TGACGAAATAGGGTGAATACATCTCATTACACTGATTTTCATTTGGTTTGTGCAGCCTTCTCGTATCATTGTTTGCAAATTCAACTATAATCCCCCCTTCACTTTATGCGACCTAAGGTGGCTATAGCTCGTATACAAACTCTATCCACTGCTCAATACGAAAATATTTTTATAAAATAATATTAGTTGACTAAATTTCCCTCGTGATTTTTTCACCTTTTAATTCTACCAGCATCAGATCCATCCCAGCGTCCCTCTCACTCAGGAATCGAGTATTAGCGCAGCACCCTCTTTTCTCACCGCTAACGGTCTGACTCCCAGTCCGACTTTAGTCAATGTGAGTGGCGTTATTGGTTCGAACCCTCAGAGTGTCGCCAATGATCGTTTGCATGGCCCTCTCGGAGGACCCCATTCTGAATTCCAAAATGTGTTGGTCAATGTCGATAACGATACAGCCGAGCTTCAACGGCGACAGCAACAGCTTCAGGTTCATACAAGTCAGGGCATGCCTACTCAGCATCAGCTACATCTTTCACAAGTGGTAAGTCCTCATATGCAGCCAGGCCAAATCCAGACATCACATTCGCAGCAACAGATGCCAGCACAACAGCATCTTGCGAGTGGAACGCCTAAGGATCAGACACAATCAACGCCACGCATGTTTGTGGACCAGACTCAACAACATCCCATGGCTACTGCTGCTACAGCCGCAGTCACTGTCTCCTCTCAACACCAACAACTACAGCATTCACCTGCACAGACCCCTGCCCATTTAGTGGATCAACACCAGCTGCAGCAGCAATGGCATCTGCCGCATATTCAACAACAGCAACCGCCTCATCAACACCAGCAACACCAAATGCAACAGCAGCAATCAATAATCACTGCTCACGAGCACGATCTCAATAGTCTTCGAGCCCAAGTTCCGCAACAGCAGCCACATTTGCATCACCAAATACAACAACCAACTTCCTCGACAGTGACACAACCACAGTCTCATCATGGACATGTATCTTTGGCCTCTGTTCATCCGCAACAGCAATCTAGACCGCATGTTCACTCTCATCTCCATACACATATCACTGATTCTTCAATGCAGAGACAGCATCAACAACAGCAAACATATTCTATGGCCGGACAAGCTCGGCAAGCAGATGTGGCTTCGGCATCCATTAATCATGATCACACAATGGGCGGTCACTTGGCCCTTATTATGAATGATGAAGAGCAGAGGACAGCAACAGCTACAATGACTTCCAAGGCGGCTAGTGGAATGCTAACGCATTGAGATTGAATAATTTCCATTACCTACTTGTAGCATTGCTATCTTCGCAGTATTTGCTCACATGCAGGCCTCTTGCCTCCCCAATCTCCCCTTCCTTCTAAACTTTAGAATGCTCAGTCACACCCTAGCCCCTCAAATTGAAGGGCCTAGATTTTAACCTCAGATCTTCATATCTCGCGCCCATATTCGTCCAGGCATCTACCTTTGCGCAATTGCATCTTACATAACAATGCAGTCCATCACCAGGTTCCCCATATATTATTTCCCTTTAATGTATGCATATGTCCATCATTTTTAAAAATGTGTATTATTCTCCATTATTTCTCACTTTTATAACTTTACCCATTTCTGCCTGTTCTCATCGAAGTTTAATAAATGTACTACTGCAACTATTTTCGTATCCGCTCTCTATTGTCTTATTTTATTTGCAAAGATATGTTGCTTCTTACTTTTTTCTCGAGTATAAACTCTCTTCTAAAACGAATTGGGTTTCCATTTATAATATCTCTCCCAACTTTCCACTTTCCCCGAAGTCCTGCATGCAATTGTTAAGCTAGGACACTATTATCGACCCAT